CCCCCCCCCCCCCCCCCCCTGCATTTTTTTCTCTCTATATAATTTCACTGTGTAAAAAAAGGGTCACATGGGTGGTTGGCGGGTGCTTTGGTGTGGTTTGTTTCTTCTTTCCTATCAAACATCTATTGTCCTTATCTCCCCTTCTTCTTTTTTATGTTTGTTACTCTCTTGTAACACCTCTAATCTTCTGGCGCTCATATGACCTTATGCAGTTGCGAGCACCGTAAAACCTCTATTTAAAATATATTTTTTTAAAACGGTCACCTGTCCAATGCGGCCACGGTCACCTTACTTTTTCTACCAAAAAGGAAAAAACCTGTCTTGTGCAAATCTCTCATTGCCTGCCGATTTGTCGTAAATGATAAATTTTTATGTATTGACTCCTGACGCTGTGGACGAGCTGTCATACTCCATTTACCTGTCGTTATTGTTAATCCCTCCAAGGTCCCATCATGTTTGGTAGGTCCCATCCAGTGTTGTTTACCCAAGTTAACCTCCCGATAACAATAATTTTTCAACAGCTGGTGAAGGATACGAGTGATTTGCCTTAATCTCTAAGCCCAGCCCACAACTCGTACACAAATCGTAAGTGAGGTAACTGGGCACTGTTTACCCAGTTTTTAACAATGGATTGGATGAACATGAACTTGCGGCAGAAGCGTCACTCGTTCTCCGAGTGGTGGCAACCCATTTATTTTACCTTATGTTCCTCGTCTGACGTGTTTTATTTTGTTTTACCCTTGCACACTGTCTTCCTCATTTGACACACTTTGCAGAATTTAACACTTATACAGCCGTCGCGAAACTTCATCTCTCTGCATAAACAAAAATGTTTCACACATTCAGATAAATCCAGCTGTTGATGACGGCGTCAATGTAGAAAAATGTAACCCATTTCCAGAACTTGCCACCAACTCCAGTTGGGAACTCAGAAAAGGGAATGTTTAAAAAGAAAACCCAGCAACCCCTTCCCCTACCCCCCCCCCCCCCCCCCCCCCCCCCTTCCCCAACCCCTAAAAAATACCCCAGTTAAACCTTATGGCAGTCCTAGAAGCCTATGCATGACCACCTTCGATTGGGGTCTAGAGGTTATAACATACTGTGTTCACCTCACACTCAGTGCCCTGAGTTCGAAACCTGACAGCGATGGGAACATTTTCTTCTCAAAAAAGTTCTCCTTTCACTACTTTTCTGCTCTCTTACCATGTTCTGTCGTCTGCTTTCGTCTTCACTTTCTGGTCCCCACCCTCCTCTCGGCTCCTGGCTCTTTCTTCATTCGTTCTACTGTTGCTGTCTTTCAGCCACACCCCAGATCTTAGGTCTTAGAAAAAGTAAGATCTAACCCCTCTAGCTTCCTCGGATCAGGGCGAAACATCTCGGGGGCTTAAGTTGCGCACGTTAAAATCGATTGGTGGTCCAAAATCGATATAAAAGAGCGAGTAGGCTTCAGCTGCCATACGGCAACATTCAAAATTCATTTCCCGAACCAAACTGAAAAAGTTTTATGATTTCTGTGCCCTCATGATCTTATGTAGTTGCGAGTGCCGTAAAACACTTAATTATTACTAAAAACACCCCCCCCCCCCCCCAAAGAAAAAAAAGAAACCCAACAAACAAACAAACACATTAATTTTCATCCTTTTATTGGGGCCACTACGTTCATTTTTCAGCTTCCCAGGTCTCATTTATCTATCTGCGTATGGTCCTACTCATGTGATACTTTATTTCATTTTATAAATATCGTTAGTCTATATCTAGGCTTTCTCAGATAGGTCTATATATATATATATATATATGTATATATTATATATATCCTTTGGCTTTCACTTTCAGTTTCCATTTCACTTCCCCTTAGAAATTGTAGATACATTACTTCCTTGTTTTTACCAGGCCTGATGGTTTCAAAATAATGCAGGTTGCTTTTCTTCTTCGTTTTTCAAATTAGATAATATTGCAATCCAACACTATTTTACATGTAGGCGTTGTGTTTGTAGTAGTATAGCCATATTATGTTGCTTAAAAAATTGTTTTCGTTTTTTCTTCAGCTTCAAATGGCAGCAATGTAAAATAGAACTAGAGAAGCCAAAGGAAAGCAAAGTTATAAAAAAAAAGTCCACGTCTAGCCTAAGCCTAAAAATTCAGTCATTTCTGGGCACAGAATTCTACACTGTGTTTCTGGGAAAACACTCGCTGCGTTTCGAGGTTATTGAACTATTCGTGGTGTGACTACCTACGAATATTAGGCTATTGAATACTTTTTAGAGTCGTGTTTTATAATAACTCGTGTCGGCTCCATTATCACTCTTGCCTTGTAACAATAAAGTACAAAGTACTGTACAATATAAGTTCAATTTCAATTATGTTAAATGCTCCAATTTCACTCTGGTTTAAGAAAAATGGGACGAAAATCATAATCTGACAAAGAAATTATAAAAAAGGTCGCACGGTATTCGAATGGCTCTGCTACATTTTTTCGGTTGTTCGAATATTGATTCTTGACGCCGAATGCCGAAGGCCGAAGGAAAGAAAAAACCTGTGCAGGTGGAGGAAGGCCTACGTCAGGCCTTTTTCCGCGAAAGAGAAGTAGGCCTAGATCTACGGCTTAATCCGTCTTGGGATCTACATCTACATCTTGATCTGCATGATGTCACTAGACTAGATCTAGATTTTAGTACTTGTAAGACAAGTAGATTAGGCGCCTAATGGCTAATGGCTAGCCAGCCACTGCCACTAGAGCCACCAGCCACTGGACTGAACTGAACTCTGAAGAAGGAGCGAGTTGGATTTGGAATAGGAATCAACTTGGCCAATAGTAGTTCTAGAAGAATAATTATTCATTGTTTCTGGTGTGAACAGATGAAATGAAGACTTGGGAGTAGATCTAGTTATCATCATGTCCTCTACGCCGGTGAGTGGGTGTGTATATAATGTATTTATCTTTCTATGCCAGTGCCAGGGTAGATCTAGACTTTTAGATTTTAGAGATCTAGACTAGATCTAGATCTAGATCTAGATCTAGAATCTAGAATCTAGATCTAGATCTAGAATCTAGACTATCCAGTTCACTAGGCCTAAATGTTTATAAAATTTTAATCATAATAGAATGTCTCAGACTGCGGTAAAACTTGAGTTAATGAACGAGAAAGGTAGGATCAAGTGAAGAAAATGAAAGACAGCGACCTAGACTGAGATAAAAACTAAAAGTCTTAGGTCGAGTCTATTTCTCCGAAGGCCACCTCTATTCTCACCCGGAGTGAGAATAGTGCAGGCGAGTCTTGTGGCTATTCTCACCAGGTGCGCGTTCACCAAATTTTGCGTTCACCCTAAACCACAGAATTCTACACTGTGATAACAGAAAAATTGTAGAATTCTGTGCCGTGAACAAACGTTCCATTACAACTGTAGCCTACTAAAAGCGTACAATTTTGTCTGTGGGCAGTGGAGAGAGAGAAAGAAAGAGAGAGAGGAGTAGCGCGAGAATTTCCGGGCGAAACAAAATCTTGAAAATGGCGACCCGCGTAGTTCGGCTCGATTCGGAAAGTTAAATAGCCGTAGCATCTTTGTAGACAACCAAATTAATTTACTTTTGTGTTTTAACATCATTTTTTAACTTTGTTTTGGTCAATTTGATCGTCCACACCGATAGACAGTATTCAGAAAGAGACAGAAAGAGAGAGAGAGAAGAGGGGAGGAGTTGATCTTGCGAGAACTTCCGGGCGGGTGAGAATAGCCACTTTCTTATCCGAACGTTCGGGAAAATAAACTTGAACTCTATTTCTCCAGACGGTTTCCGTTCTCTAGATTTGTAGATAGCCTACTAATAAGCCAGCGAATGAGAATGGAGTGGCCCATGTGTGTATGTGTGTGTGTGTGCATGTTGTGTGTGTGTCTGAGTGTGTAGGGTGTGAACGGGGTGGAAGGGGTGGAAGGGGGGGGGGGGGGGGGGCGTTGAGGGATTTTTTTTTTCCATGAAGGATTTTAGTTTTTGCTGGGTGACTAGGCTAATGTAAAATAGGTTACTGCCTAGCTAGGTCGAGCAGTCTTGTTTTCTTGCAGTACCTTTTGAAGGTATTTTCAAATGAAGTATAGTCCGGGAACGTTGCCCCAACCACTTAACTTAAGTATGTCTGAATATTCAGTAAATCACGCAAATAACCCAAAAACCTCGAGATCGGAAACTGTTCAGAGTAATAGAGTTCAGCTTTATTTTTCCGAACGTTCAGAGAAATAGTCACTTCGTAAAACTTAATGTGGCCGGTCCAGAAATTGAATTTGTAATATTTACCGGTGGTGTTTTCAAAAGATATATTTTATACTAGTGACTCTATTTCTCAGAGCGCTCGGGAAAATAAACTTTATCTTTATTTCTACTTAAATGGTTTCCGTTCTCAACATTTTTGGGTTATTCGCGAGATTTAGGCGTCATCTTTCATTCTGCCATTCTGCAAGGACTGGGAAGAAGCATTTTTGCATCGAATTCAATTTCTAGAGCAAAAGATTTTAAAATGTCTGAATATATCAGATATATACTTCCAGAATCTGTTGTTGTGGTGGGGGCAACATTCCCGGACTATAGGCCCACTAGACTTCATTTGAAAATGCCTTCAAAAGGTACTGTGAGAAAACAAGACTGCTCGACCTTGGCAGTAACCTATTTTGTATTTAGTCACCCCTAAAACGAAAATCCTTCATGTAAACAAAAACAAAAAAATCCCTCAAAGCCCCCACTCCCCACCCCCACCACGCCCTGTTCGCACCTCAAACACACATGCACAC